TATATACGGGCATAGCAACAAAAATCCCGTTGAAAATTTCAACAATTTTCATTAAGTGCAAATAGTTTACATAATGTAATTAATTTTCTATGAAATAACAGCTCGTGTAATGCGTAAATTAAGTGCAGAAAATTGTATTTTGCGCAGTAATAAATTAAATAAATTTGCATTAATGCAAACGCAGTAAATTTTATTGACACTACAGCAAATGTCAGTCCGTCGGTTCGATAATCAAACCCATTATTGTCCTTATGGAGCGCGAGTCAATCAAGTAAAATAAAAGCGAATTTAATACTCTGCTCGGTACTAATTACCATATAAGGTTCTGTTTGAGGTCAATAATCAGCATGGTATTCGCATTAATCTCAGATATTGTCGCCGCATTGGATAGCTAATGCCACATTCCATTCGATGGATGCAACAGATTATTATGCTAATTATTGAACTGTTAATAATAATGCTGCTCATTAGACCCGAATGCTGTCTCCAGCTGGCATGCTCGACATGCAATTAGACAGTTAATTATCATCTGGCTGTGTGATTTACATGCATACGGATTCCATTTACAAATGCAAATCGATCAGGTATTTGTCCTATTTAGTATAATTACCTTTGCACTAGTTGCACACACGCTAGTTATTATGTGACCATCATAGGGATCATACTACAAAGAACTTCTCCCATTTGCTTTGTTTCGTATAACTTCCCATTGTTGCTCACATGTAATTAGTTGACGAGGCAATCGTGGTAGCCTAATTAGACGAGGCGCTCTAATAGGAAGCCCCCAAAATATTCATTGGCAATTAAACTGTGATTTTTAGGGATTCACCACTTCAAAGCGAATCCCAAAACTTTGCATTTCTCATTAAGATGAACTGAGTGCCTACCCTAAGCAATGACCAGTTGCCAGGCAAACCATTTGCCTTTGCTTCGATAAGCAAAGCTTAAATTGTAGCTGTGCTCATGGCGACGATACCCTGGATGTGGTCGTTAGTTACGTTGGTATTTCCACTTGTTAGACTCTCAACGTAATTGATTTATAATCCGTTTTCATTGAAATCGACAAACTGGAGTAATTCTCGAATTTTCTTGATAAAATTCGGATACTTTATAGATTTAATGACGGGTTGTTTATACCTTTTGACAGAGAGGGGCAGATAGAGACGTAGAGATATCATATTCAAAAATTGATGAATATATATCTAAATCTGATCAAATTCTATTTTTTATATGGATCCGCCGAATATGGACAGCTTTGTAACAGCCCTGTATTGCAGATATATTCCCTCTTCTCCAAAAGTACAAAATATAGAGTATACATATGAATACTTTTCTATACTAGCCCACAATATATCAGTTATATTCTCTGCTTTCCATAAGCTGACTATTTCACATTTAGGCTCTTCCATCTATGAACACAGCTGCCTACATGCATTCCATCTTTACCGTTTGACCAATGAATGACGTTCATAAAGGCCCAAGAAAATAGTGTTGAGCAAAAAAAGAAATGTTTTTTCCGCGCTCAGCGACAAAACGCCCATTCAGCGACTTGACACTGCCTGATAAATGGTCAAATACACAAAAAAAAAAGGAGGAGAAGAATGAAAAGAGAAGAGGTAAATTTTTCAGTTACTTCTTGCTTTTTATTTGTGTTTTGTGCATGCTGCATGTGGATATTATCGGGCGTGCAACGTACGCCTCATTGAAGTGAAAGTATTGCAACATATAAGCCAGACAGTGGCAATAACCATGACAGTTATGAGTTTTTCGCAAAGCGAATGCGAATGCGAATGCGAATGTGAATGTGAATGGGAATCGAACGAGCTACTAGAGCAGTGTTGCTCTAGCCATGCTATTGAAATTAATTTGACGCTTGATGTGGACTCTTGAAGCAGAGAGCATAAAACTCTAGATGCAATTTCGATTCATTTCATATGGCCTCAGTGATTCTTGTGCTTCATTGATTTTCATGGCCTGGCCTGGACTGCTCTGGTTGCAAATGACAAAATACGACAACGATGACGATAACGAGGGAAGGGCGTTGGGCGTTTGCCTGAGTGCTGTGGCCGTCCGCCATTAGCTTGGGCAATAATGAAAACCGGATGAGCTCATATGCGCCGACAGCCACTAAATCGGCAGAGTCAACGCATCGTGTTGGACATAATATTGCATTTGCTTTTAGATCAAAATTAGCCAGACCAAACAAAGATAATTGCTTGAGTGGCTGCCAGATAACTGAGTAACTGGTTTGCGGCTGCAATCGGGGGCCATTCCATGAATTGGCAGCCACAAAGCTTATTTGAAGCTTAGGCTGAGGCATGCAACGCAGTGGCAATGCAATATTCTTATATAATCAAACGATAACTTGAATCATTACATCATTACAGCTTCCGGTATGATATAGTTTAGTAAGTAAAGACCTCAATAAAATATATTTAATTACTAAAATATATCATACCTGAAGCTGCGCTAGGATTAGTTTTTATTTGATACATATTTGCCTGCTTTGTTCGCACCAAAGTTTTTGCCTCAACTATGCAAATTCCTTTTTCATTTAAATTGCTTTACATTAGTTTCCAGGTGTATTTAATTATTTGAAAGTTGTTGTTCAAAAAAAGTTGTGTGAGATATGGTATGTGTTGGGCAATAAATACATTTTAATTTACGCAGATTAAAGGCATATTTTATTTTGAAAATTGTATTTACCAGAGCTAAGCTTTATGCTTTAAATGTTTGTGTTTTTACATATTTATATATGTATATGTATCTAAATGTGTAAAATTACTATTTCCTTTTGCTGTATTGTAAAACTAAACAACTTTTTATACAATGCTCAATGTGTAAAAGTTTCGACTCGTTCAATGTGCATTAGACCAGCAGGTAAACCTGAAATATTGTATAGCGAGAGATACTGAGCGAAAGTGAGTGAAGTAGGTTGAGAAAAATATAGACATAGAAAGACAGAGAGAAAAACAGATAGGGAGAGCGAGATAGAAAGAGATGGAGTTATTAAATAGGCAAGAAAAAATGACTCAGGCTCATAAATACCAATCAGAAAATCAAGATATCTGACATAAGATGAGCTTCAAATGATTTCAAATGTTTTATTGGATGTTTGCTGTTTCAGTACATGGTTATATTGACTTTGTTGTTGTTGCAGCAACAAACCAAAAACATGTGTCTCATATTAAACCTTAGCATGTATTCATTATTTCAAATACTATGTTAAATCTAACACAAACCTTTAATTAGTCTGAGCAACTTTGGTTGTATACTCTCTTGGAATGTCTTACTCGAAATTTCAGCAATGTTTATCTCTGATTACTAAACATGTTGCCTCAAAGGCATTCAAGCATGTGAGATCTATTAGAGTCTTGTCTTGTTTTAAATTAATTTTAAATAATTTAGTTGTATCGCATTTAATCTGCACATGATGCAAATTTATTTGTGCCTGCGCACAATCTATGCAAATTTATTTGTGTCAAAGCAGCAGAGCACAATAGAAAATTGCCCACTTCAAGTTCGAACCCAAATGGTTTGAGTTTGAGTTGCGTTGGGATATCGTTTGTGTGTGTGTGTGTGGCCTAATTTGGCATGTAACCAAAGTCATTAGGAATTGACTTTGGCTTTGGCTTTGGCATTTGCTTTTGCCTTTGCTTTGGCATGGCCATTGGCGTGGCCTTTGGCATTGGCATTCAAGGGATCAATTCGTTGTGGGAATGGCCATATCGGCTGCGAAGACTCTTATAATCTTGGGGTACGCAACCCGTAACCCGAATGAACCAAACAATCTCACACATGTTTGCATTTAATCCACTTTTATTGCAGCTTTGGGGCATGCGACCCTCAGTTATTATGCTGATTGTGTTGACACACCCATCCACACATACTCACACACACACACACACTCACCCACGCAGTGATTTCATTGTTTGTTGTGTGTTGTTGTCGAGCTGGATATTAAATATTTAAAGGGCTCTCAGGTTGTTTTTACCTTGACCAAGCCGTCAAGCACACTCAGAGTCTATTGCGAATTTATGAAAATTCTATTTCAGTTGTAAACAAATCAAATTGGGCCAACACATGCCTTGAATGGTGATTTGTATGCCAAATTTAAATACACTTTAAATGTCAAGCTCAGGCGTTGCTGCTGCTGCTGCTTGATTACCTCTCTGTGGCCGAGAGTCCAAAGTTCCGACAAAGTTTTAATTCTTTCCCCAGCTGTCGAACCTTTCACCTTTATTTAATCAATGCCAGGCAGCCTCTGTGTGCCATTGACTGCCCCAAACTTTACTCCCTATGGCAACTATGAAACTTGAATTGCATATGTCTAAGTTGAAGAGTGCAGAAAATGTTGAAATCGTTGGCGAATACAAGTTTTTGATTGAAACAACATTAATGAAGCCAACAAATGGCATTGCTACATGCGTGGAGTGAAGGTATTTTTTAAAAATATAAATAAAAGTTTGTTTACGACAAGTGAAGACATTTCAACAAGAAAAATAAAAAATAGTCGGCATTGTTTTGAA